CCTCCTCCTCCCCTTCCTTTTTTTGTGGGGGGGTCTTTTTGAGACAGGGTCTCCCTGCAGCCCCAGGTGTCCTGGAACTCACTATATAGACCAGGCTGGCCTTGAACTCACAGAGATCCGCCTGCCTCACAAGTGCCTACAGGCGTGTGCCACCACGCCCGGCCTCCTCTTTTAGTTTTATGAGACAGAATCTTACTCTGTAGCCCAAGCTGGCCTAGAATTCCCTATCCTAGGCAGAATTTGAAGTTGTGATAACCCTCCTGCCTCAGCTCCTAAGTGCTAAAATTGCAGCATATGCTTCCTTGCCCTGTTAGGAGCTTTCTTCTTTTTTCTGTGTGTGTGTGTGTGTGTGTGTGTGTGTGTGTGTGTGTGTGTGTGGTATACATGTGTGTATGTATCCATGTTTGCATGTGTGGGCTTACGTGTGTGGGTATATACATGCACCTTATTCACTGAGGCAGATTCTCTCAGTCAAGCCCAGAGCTCACCAGTATGGTTAGTCTCACTAGCCAGCATGTTGTGGGCGCCCCCATCTGTGCTTTCCAGGCTGGACTTGCTGGCAGGCCTGCACACCATCCAGCATTTACACGGGTTCCTGGAATTCGTGCTGGGTCCTTGTGCTTGCCTAGCAAGTGCTCAACCATCTAGCAACTTCCCAGCCCCTCACAATTTAAAATGTAACTGGAACCAATTTCTTCCTTGACTGTTTTTGGAAGGGTGAATGAACAAAGTATTTAGTAGCGATATTGCTCTAGCCACACCCCTTTCCACACTGGTTTCGCCTCTGTAACCACCCTCTCCAAAAACAACTCAACTGGTTTCTTACTGGAAAGCCACTGTGAATCTGTCCAGTTGGGTCAGGAGAGAGTCTACAGGCTGAACCTCCCACCCACAGGTTTTCCAAATCCTTTTGGGAGTCTCCTGTACTCATTGTACCTGGTATAGTTAAGAAAAGCCATATGTCTAGGCTTCTTTGCTTATTCACTGGTCAAATGTAGAGGAATGTAGACCAATTATAGTATGTATCAGCTAGCTTTCCATTACTGCAACAAAATGCCTAGGATTAGAAACTTATCAAGAGGAAAGGTTATTGTGCCTCATTTTTCAGAGGTTTCAGTCCATGACCCTGTTGCTTTGAACCTGTGGCAACAGGTTCCTCAACAGGTTCCTGTGCAACAAACAGTACCTCATGGTGGGAATATGGAGCAGAAGAGGCTTGTTCACTAATGGCTGAGTATGAAAAAGAGAGAAAGGGGACTGGAGAGATGGCTCAGCGGTTAGAGCACTGGGTGTTCTTACTCCAGTTCCAGGGGATCTGATGCCCTCCTTGGGGATTGCACGACATGGGCGCACTTACATACATGTAGGCAAAACACTCAAATGCATAAAATAAAAATAAATAAATATATAAATAAGAGAAAGAAAGAGACCAGGCCTCTGATATCCCCTTCAAGGATATGTCCTCAGTGACCTGAGACCTCCTTCTAGGCCCCACCTCTGAAAGGCTCCACCATCTCCCATTAGGTCTGCCCTGGGGACCATGCCTTTGGGGCATTCCAGATCCACCCCACAGTGCAGTGATGTAAGTGCGCCTCTGAAACTGCACTGTCTCCACAGAAAAGGCTCTTGACAAGCAAGTCTGATCACCTGCGTTTGAGCCCCAGAACCCATGTGAGAGCTGCAGCTGCAGTTTCAGCCTCCTACTTCAAAACAAGAGCATCACCTGGAAGCGTTTGGGCCAGGTCGTCTGGAGTGCCCAGCTGGCAGAAAGCAAGACTAGACCGTGCCTCAAAACAAGGCGGTCTGCACGAACCAGCTCCTGAAAGCTGACCTCCATACACAGGCTTTGGTACACACACACACACACACACACACACACACACACACACACACACACACAGCAAAAATAACTATTTTTTTTTAAAAAAAAAAAAAAAACCTGACCTGGTGACCACCGTTGCTAGGTAATGTGAAGATCCACACAGGAGGTCCTGTCTTCATAACTTCCCTTTCCCTCAGTGACAGGATAAAGTCTGCAGAGACTAAATTTTTACAAATAATGACTCTGGCTTTAAATTTTTTTTTGTATTTCAAACAAATATAGACAATTTTTATGCATTTCATGTAATAGATATCAACTAAATTTAGACCCCCCTCCCCCACCCGCACCCCCAGTAGCTCCACCCCTCCACTGGATTTCATGAATTCTTTCATATATGTTAAGTCCTATCAGATCAAGCTTTTCTATTCAGATGTCCCTCAGTGCAAGTTCATCCACTGGAGTCTAGTCAGCCTCTCTAGAGTCCCTCCCTTAAAGAAGATCTACTCTCCCTCACCCCTCAGTAATCAGTTGCCAATAGTTCCTTGACTAGGGTTGGAGCCTGCTGCCCATTTCCCCAGTTCTATGGGGGATTTTTGTCTGACTGAATCAACATGGGTCTTGTACATGCTGTCACCATTGTTGCAAGTTCATATGAACAAGTTCCCAGTGGTCTGAAAGCCTCTGGTTTCTTATGTTCATGCACCAACCCTGGTTCTTACAATCTTTCTGCTCCATCTTCTACAATTGTCCCTGAGCCGTGGGTGGGTGAGGTTTAATATAGGAGTTCTATCCAGGGACACACACACTGCAGTGTCTTTTTCTCTAAAACTTAGCCAGTTGTGGCCTCCTGTCTGCATCACACTTTGTTGTATGAGGAAACTTTTCTGGTGAGAGTTGAGGGATGGATTAGTATTCTCTCTACCCCCTGTTCTGCTATGTTCCATGAGCCTTAGGTGTAGAGATTCCATTGTAGATGTGTCAGTTAGGGTTGGGCATCTTTTAGACATATATTCTCTGTGTATGACCAGTTGTGTCTGGCTTTAATTTAATTACAAGCACCCAATACATTTTAATGGTGGCTGGAGGCATTTCTGAAGAGAGAGTGTGTGTGGTTCCTTAAGGTAGTGATGATGCATAAAAGAGAAGCTACCTCTTGGAGGCTGGAGAGATGGCTCAGCAGTTAAGAGCATGGGCTGTTCTTACAGAGGACCTGGGTTCGATTCCTAGAATTCACATGGCAGCTAACAATCACCTGTAACTCCAGTTCCAGGGAATCTGATGCCCTTTCTGATCTCTATGGACGTGCATGACACAGGTAACCTTACATACATGCAGGCAATACATCCATATGCATAATATAAAATTAATAAATAAAATATTGTTTTATCTTTTTGAGACAGGGTCTCCCTGTATCCCCAGCTGGCCTGGAATTCACTATATAGACCAGGCTGGCCTCAAACTCACAAAGATCCGCCTGCCTCTGCCTCGCAAGTGCTGGGATTAAAGGCATGCACCACCATGCCCGGCTAAATAAAATATATATGTATTTTTTTGGTCTTTTTGAGACAGGGTCTCCCTGTAGCCCCAGCCATCCTGGAACTCACTAAGTAGACCAGGCTGACCTTGAACTCACTGAGATCCGCCTGTCTCTTCCTCCCAAGTGCTGGAATTAAAGGCATGCGCCACCACGCCTGGCAATAAAACATTTTTTAAAAACTACCTCTTGAGGCTGGAGAGATGGCTCAGTGGTTAAGAGCACTGACTGCTCTTGCAGAGAACCTGGGTTCAATTCCCAGCACCCACATGGCAGCTACAAAATGTCCTTAACTCCAGTTCCAGAAGAATCCGAAGCCCTCTTGTGACCTCCTTGGGCATTGCACAACATGGGTGCACTCACATACATGCAGGCAATACACTCATACACATAAAATAAAAATAATAAAATATTTTTAAAACTACGTCTTGGAGTCATTTAAACGAAGAGTGAGCCCAATCTGTTCTGAGAACTGTTGGTTTGTTCTCTTGAACAAAAGGCCTCCTCTTCTGTTTATCGAACTTCAGGGTGTAAGGGAACGAGGAATTTTGCCTTAAAGAACCTTTACCTAGGGGCTGGAAAGATGGTTCTGTGGTTAAGATCATTGACTGCTCTTGCAGAGGACCCAGGTTCTATTCTCAGCACCCACATGGTGGCTAACAACCATCTGTAACTCCAGTTCCAGGGATCCGATGCCCTCTTCTGACCTCCATGGGCATTGCACTACACAGGTGCACTTACCTACATGCAAGCAATACACCCATATGCATTAAATAAAAATAAATTTAATAAAAGAAAAAAGAACCTTTACTTGGAGTTTTCTGACCCTAGTGACCCAGAATAGTGCACAAACCCACAAACAGACATCACTGACTTGTGCTCATGGATTGATTGCCTCCAGCACATGGGAGACAGGTTGTTTACAACATATCACTGCTCAGTGCATGGTCTTAGGTCTATGACCATATCTCATACACACATACTTGTTCTGAGTCCAGCCATAGCTGAATCACAAGAGGGCATAAGGTTAAAGCCATGTGTTTTGCTTGGCTTTTAAAGATTAATAATTATGTTGGGAGTCCAAGCATAGGAAGATTGATTATGTTGTTCTTCTTTTTTAAAATTTATTTTTATTTTATGTGTATGAGTGTATTGCCTGCATGTAAGTGCACCTGTGTAGTGCAATGCCTGCAGAGGTCAGAAGATGGCATCAGATCCCCTAGAACTGGAGCTACAGATGATTGTTAGCTGCCATGTGGGTGCTGGGAATTGAACCTGGGTCCGTTGCAAGAACAGCCAGTGTTCTTAACTTCTGACCCATCTCTCCAGCCCCTACATTGCTTTTCTTAAAGGCCAGTTAAATTTAAACAAGCTGAGTAGGAAAACAGATTGAATACACAATTCTCAGTGACTTCAAAACATATGATTAACCTGCAAAAGTTCAATTTGCTATTCCCAGAAAAGTCATTCCTGAAGTTCCCCCTTTAAGGGATCTTATTTCTGTCCTAAGAAATACCCAAGAAGCCCAGAAGAGCAACTTGTAACTGTATTCATTTTAATTGCTAAATCTACTTCAAAATGACTAATGGTGTTATATGAATTCTGCCTCTCTTTTTTTTTTTTTTTTGGTATTTTATCTTCTAGGCCAAAAAGTTTGCAACTTATGTAGTGGCTACAGGACTTCAGTATGGAGTGGAAGGGGGCATCTTGCATGCCTTTTTTAAGGTATGACTTTTCAATGACTAGGTGAATTTGTAAATATTAATTTTAAATTAATTTATTATTAATAATTATTTAGATTTTACTTTTATTTTTGATTTACTTTTTAATTTTATTTTATGTGTATGAGTATTTGCCTACATGTATGTATTTGAACCATGTTCATGCAGTGGCCACGGAGGTCAGAAGAGGGGATGGGTCTCCTGGAACTAGAATTACAGGCAGTTGTTAGCTGCCATGTGGGTGCTGCAAACTGAAACCAGGTCTGCAAGAGCAGACATCTCTCCAGCCCCTAAGTTTTCCTTTTAAACCATCTTACAAAGTAGCAGATCCCTGCCCCCCAAACCCTCCCCTCCTTGTCCCCATCCTCACTTACGACCTCAGTCTATGAATTCTTTTTTGTAATTTTACTTATTATCATTAATGCATGTATATGGTATGTGTATCGGGGCTGGCCCATGCCTCAGTGTGTATGTATAGGTCAGAGAACAACTTTGTGGAGTTGGTGGGAGATAAGCTTTTACCCACTGAGCCATCTCATTAGCCCAATACGAAGATTCTTTTTTTAACTACATTTATTTGTTTATTTATTACATATGGGGGTGGCATAAGCATACATGTGGCATGGAGGTCAGAGGAAAACTTGCGGAAATCGTTTTTCTCCTTCTACCATGTGGGCCTTGGGATTAGACTCAGGGTGTCAGGTTTGGTGACAAATGCCTCTACCTGCTGCATCATCTCACCAGCCCTATGTATATTCCTTCCTTCTTTCTTTTTTATTTTATGTGTGTAAGTGTTTTGACTTCATGTATATAAGTGCATCCATGTCATGCAATGTCCTTGGAGGCCAGAAGAAAGTGTTGGATCTCCAGTAACTGGAGTTATGGAGGGTTGTGGCTTCGGGGAACCAAACCAGGGTCCTTTGCAGGAGCAGTCAGTGCTCTTAACCCCTGTGAGCCATCTTTCTAGCCCCCCATGGTGATTCTTAGGAAGTGTTTACAAGCCAGAAGGTGGCATGCACACACCTGACTTTGAGACCAGCCTAGGCAAAGCTCTGTGTCGGGAAAGGGAAAAGGGAAGGGAGGAAGGGGAGGGGAAGGGAATCAGGAGGGGAAGGAAGAGAGGGAGGCAAGGGAAAGAGAGGAAAAGGAAGGGCGGAGAGGAGGGACGGGGAGGGGAGGAGGGAGGGGAGGGACAAGAGGACCTCTCCTCCGGCTGCACAATCCAGGTGCAGCTCCTTCTTGCCCATCGCAAACTCCTCAAGCTACTTCAGTCTGCCTGGGATATCCTGTGTCTAAACTGTCTCCAAACTGTTTCTGTACAGCCTGCACAGCCCTGTCTCCTTGAAGGTCTCTTTTTCCTCATCTTTCCTTCACAAGTAACAGAAGCAACTGCAACGATGGCCAAGTTGCTACCTCAAATCCTTGATGTGATTTCCCAAAGTCGCACACACCTCACCACCTTAGGGTCTGCCACAGTCTCCATCACTCTTTCACTCAGATAGGTAGATAGATATTTGGTCTTTTTGAGACAGGGTCTCCCTGTAGCCCCAGCTGGCCTGGAACTCACTATGTAGACCAAGCTGGCCTCGAACTCACAAAGATCCGCCTGCCTCTGCCTCCTAAGTGCTGGGATTCAAGGCATGCACCACCATGCCCTGCTTTAGTTTTATTTTTAAGGTTTGTGTTATTGTGTGTATGTGTGTGGGCCTGAGTGTATATATGTGAACTACATGTATACAGGTGCCCACTGAGACCAGAAGAGGGCATTAGATCCCCTGGAATTGTAGTTACAGGTGATTTGGGGCTGTCATGTGGGTACTGGACCTGAACTCAGGTCCTCTGGAAGAGCAGCAAAGTGCTCTTAGCTGCTAAGCCATTCCTATAGCCCCTTTTGCTTTTAATAACAGTTAAAAATAATCTAAGCTGGGCATGCTAGTGCACACCTTTAATCCCAGCACTCCAGAGGCAGAGGCAGGTGGATCTCTGTGAGATGGAGGCCAGCATGGTCTAGATAATGAGTTCCAGGCCAGCTGGGGCTCCAAGGAGACCCTGCCTCAAAACAAAACAGAACTCTGACTAGGGATTTGATGCATATACAAAGCCCTCAGTTTAATACCCACTGTGCTGGACAGCTTTAGTGTCAACCTGACACACCTGGGTTGAGGGAGCCTCAATTGGGGAATATCCTCTATTGGACTGGCCTGTGGCCATGTCTGAGGGGCATCTTCTTGATGAGTGATGTGGGAGGGCCCAGCCCACTGTGGGTGGTGCCACCCCTGGGCAGGTGGGCCTGTGTTGCATAAGAAAGCAGGCTGAGCAGGGGCCGGGGGAGCACGCCAGTAAGCAGCGTTCCTCCATGGCCTGTGCTCCATCCAGTTCCTGCTTCCAGGTTCCTGCCCTGAGTTCCTACCTTGGGCTCCCTGATGAACTAGGACCTGGGAGATGTAGCTGAGAGATGTAAGCTGAATAAACCCTTTCCTCCCCAACTTGGTAGTGGTCAGAGTGTTTTGTCACAGCAGTGGAGAAACAAAGTAGGACACCCACCAACAAAAATAGAGTGAAATGAAACACGTGACTCTGTATTCAGAATGACAGGAAAAGACAAGGATTTGGGCTTGGAAGATTGGGCTCCCAGTCCTGACCTAGGGACTCCCCACAGGCATAATATCCTGCCAGACATTTTATCCATTAACCAGCTCATTTCTGAACTTCTTACAATTACACCATTAGTGGCAGTAACTCCCGTGGTGTGTGTGTGTGTGTGTGATTGTAGGTATGTGACTGTGTTTGTAGTTGTGTTCATGGAGGTCAGAGGGCAACTTTGTAGAGTCAGTTCCCCCCTTCCACTGTGAGTTCTGGGGATTAAACTTGAGTTCTCAGCCTTGCTTGTCAAGCCCTTTACCTGCTGAGCTGTCTCATGGGCCCTCAGTTAAATTCTCCCTATGAGACTAAAGAACTCATACTTGTGAGAGTTTTCCTCTGTGTAGACGTCATGTAAATGACTGCTAAAGATAATGTTTCAGTGTTTCAAGTGGGAACGGAAGGTTACCTTGTATGCATTTTTAGTACCATGTATTAATTGCACATATTATTGGGGCTGGGTGTAATGTTTGCACACATGCATACAGCATGCACTGGTGCAGCCTCCTTTACCTACCCTCCCCACCCACCTCCCATTTCTAGTCCTCTGTTAATCACCCGTCTATATTCACATCTACTTTTCAGCTTCCACAAATAAGAGTCTGCCTGGGCTGCTTGTCTATGTGTGGCTTACTCCCCTAATATCTGTGTCCTAAAGTAACACTTCATTTCTCCAGCAGGGCTGGACCCTCGACCTCGGGTCTGAGTTATGAAGCACTTCCTGTGGGAGAGTCCTCAGCAGGTGGAGCTTCTGAGGACTCTGGAGCGGATGTGGGTTGCAGTGGTGGACATACACCAGGGCAAATGCTCTGCTTTCCCTTCTTTCAGATGGCTTGGCTGGGCGAGATGCCAGCGCTACCTGTTTTTGGAGATGGAACAAACGTAATTCCGGCCATTCATGTTCTTGATCTCGCAGGGTAAGCGTTCTCCCAGAAGTGTGACTGTCCTAGCTGATTGATGTGTACCATTCATCTGCAAAGTGACAGTCACTGCACATTCGCCCAGTGCTAGGACCCTCACACATGTATTCATTCGTCACGACCCTGTACAGGAGGGAGGCTGTGTTCTCCATTCGGCATCTGATGAAACAGCGCCCACTTAATGTCTTCACTTCTTTGATGGCAAGGAGAGGTTCATCTCTTAGAAACTCTTGACAGCAGAGAACTCTGGAAAAGGAAGTTTGGTGTGCACATCCTGGGAGCCTGATTTCTTTCACCCTTTGTCCCAGACAAGATGGATATGCCATGCCTACCATTAAACCTCCAAAAATCAGACAGCAAACTGTAAACCTGAAGCTGTTTCTTCTTTTCCTTTGAGTCAAGTTCTCACTCTGTAGCCCAGGCTGGCCTCAAAATCAAGACTGACCTCTCGCTTCAGCATCCTGAGTGCTAGGAATTCAGATGTGAGCTACCAAGCCCTTCTCACACCTTACAGGGGAACAAGGAACTAGTTCATTATGAAGCACTTACGAGTGACCTTGGCCTCTGAACACAGAGTCCAGTTACCCTAAATGAAGGGTTCTGCAAGGGAAAAGGTCGCACAGACTTTTAAGGCCTTGGAACAAAGCAAAGCATAAATCAACACATTAACCAAGTACACTGATAGGGCATAGGGGTACATTAAAGAGGCAGGTGATGGGATGCCAGAAAATCTTTTCCTTGGGTTCTGATGTTATCTTATAGCCTTCTGTTTCAGGGTTGGGGAGGCTAGAGATCAGCTAAGCCTAACAGTACATTCCATTCCAGAGGTTCACCTGATAGATAGGAGTGTTAGTATACAAAGGTTAGAAGTGAACACTTGTTTTTCTCCAAAGACTGACTCTTGCTGTGCATTCCATCCCTCCACTCTCAGGATGGTGTTTTGGACCTTGGCGGGGGTTGGGGAGGATTTGCAGGCCTTGGAACACAGAGGTGGCTTCTTCAGAGCCCTGCAGCCACTTGACCTGCATTTTCCACACTCACCAAGCCTCCCAGCCATGTCCAGGCAGGTCCCTGGGGCCTTGTTAGCAGATCCTGACCCAAGCACCAGGTGGGCAGCTGGTTTGGCTGTTTGTGCAGCGGGAGCTCTGAGCTCTATGTTTTACTGTGCCCTGCAGGTGGGTCCCTAAGGGACCTGCTCCAGGCTCTCATTCTTTCCTCAAGCTCTGGTGAAAATCAGTCTTGCATCCAGAGCTACAGATTTACCAGAAAGTAAATACAGCTTAAGCTTCATATATATAATTTTTTTCATTATTCTTAAAGAAGGATCCCTGAAGCTATATAAATTTCAGATTCTCCACATCTACATCTTGCCTGGTATAGGTATGCATGATGCAATCCCAGAAGAATATGGAGTTCAAGACCAGCCTGAGCTACATAGGGAGCTGCAGGCTAACCTGGGTTAGATAGCGATATCTCTTGCCCAGTTCTGTCCCCTGACTCTGCCCCTCTCAAAAAAACAATTCCCTAGATTTTCCCCTGCCAACATTAACTTTGGGAATTAATGTGCACAGTTTTTTTTGTTTTGTTTTGTTTTGTTTTGGTCTTTTTGAGACAGGGTTTCCTTGTAGCCCTAACTGGACCAGGCTGGTTTTGAACTCACAGAGATATGCCTGCCCAGCCATGAATGCGCATTCTTATCTATCAGGATTTTTCATTATGTTACTGGGTTTTAAAGGTTTAAGGTTTTTTTGTTTTTTCCCTTTCATGCAGTGTCACAGGCTGGCTTTGAACTGAAAACCTTCCTGTCTCAGTCTCCCCAGAGCTGTACACCACCACACTCAGCCTAGTGGCCTAGTATTTCACATTCTTTTTTTTTACTTTTTTTTTTTTTTTTTTTTTTTTTTTTTTTTTTTGGTCTTTCTGTAGCCCCAGCTGGCCTAGAACTCCCTGTGTAGATCAGGCCAGCCTTGATCTGACAGAGATTTTCCTGCCTCTGCCTCCCAAGAACTGGGACTAAAGGTGGTCTTTCACATTCTTAAGTCTAACAAAGCACTTCATATTAATACCATACTTGCAAACAGGTACAGTACAGAGCAAATTTTTCTTTTTGGCATTATTGAAGGTCTTGGAGGCCCTTTTCAGTAACATTGTCTTTCTTTCTACTGCTTTCTTTGAAGACTGTTGATCATTTAACAAAGAAGGAGCAGAAAGTTAAAGCAGTCTGAGAAGTTAATATAAACCATGTGACATGGCCATGTGTGGTGGTGCAGGAGGCAGAGGCAGGCGGATCTCTGTGAGTTCTAGGCAGCCTGGTCTATATAATGAGTTTCAATGCTGGGCGTGGTGGTGTGCCCCTTTAATCCCAGCCCTTGGAAGGCAGAGGTAGGTGGATCTCTGCAAGATTGAGGCCACCCTGTTTAACAGCCTGACTTACAGGTGGGCTGTGACTAGGGAGACCCTATCAAAAAACAATCAATAAAAAAAGACCAAAAAAAAAAACAAAAACCCATACCATAGTTTCAGGCCAGCTGGGGCTATAGGGAGACCTGGTCTCAAGAAGACAAAACAAGCAAGCATGTAATATGAACACTTGTTATTTGTACTTCTCTTGTCATTTTCGGTGCTGGGGTGGGACCCAGAACCAGGCCCTCACTAGACCAGCACTCTGCCATGAGCTAAATGAACATTAGACATGTGCATTGCAAATTTCATCTTACTGAAAAGGAAGCTAAAATGGGGGAAATGTGGTGGTATTCGATGCCCCATTACAGCGATGCCTGACGAGATGCAGCCTGACTCTTAGCATCCATTTCAGTCAAGAAGGACCCGAACTGCTCTGAGAACCTGTTCCTTCAAGCTTCTCTCAGCCCTGGGCTCTTGAACAAAGGCTTTCCTCTCTATTGAAACTGTACATTCAGCATGAAATGAGGAAAGACAAGAGGCTTACTAGGTTATGTCCCTTCTGACCCCTACTGACCCAGGATGACACACATATACAATTACAAACAGATGTTATTCATTTAATCTCTGTTGTGTGCAGCACAAGTGGGATGGTCTTTGCTACTTCCAGTGACATCCACTGTTTGCAGCACTTGTTTGATGTGCACAACACGCACATTCATACATTGTTTTGGATCAAGGGCAGGGAAGGGGCATAGGGTGAAGGCTGTTTGCTTAGGTACAAGAGGAGCCCTGGCCTAGTACATTCTCTTACAATATAAGCAAGCTGAGGCAATGTTAAATGATCTCAAACAATGAAATTAACCTTTTCATCTGTAAGGTTAGGTAAAGTCATTTGACCAGCTATGTCCATATTGTAAAATACTGCCCCCAGGGGTAGAAGTGTCAGGCCACTGGGGTAGACTTGTAGTCAGTGGCTCTTTCTGGAAAGCTTGGTATCTGCCTGAGTCCCTGGTGTGCCTCTCACCATGACTTCTCTGAGTCAAATTCTGTCTTTTAAGACGGGGAGAGTCATAGCACCTCCCTGATAAGAGTATTGCTAGGGTTCTGTGGGAGATTACCTCTGAAGCCCTTTGCAAAGTCCCAGCAGAGTTAAGTATCTGCAAGTACTGTCAATCTTTGATTCAGAATCATCTCATGTGCAGTCATTGTGTGACTTTTTTCTTTTGTCTTTTTGAGATAGGGTTTCCCTGTAGCCTCAGCTGACCTGATTCTCACTATGTAGACCAGGCTGGTGTGTGCTACCACACCCAGCCTGTGTGACCTTTATATGAGAACCATAGTGTCTTGAATCTGTGTTTCATTTTGCAAAACAGCAAACCCACTCAAACCACCAGGTCAGGCCTCTGGCTTTAGTTGGTTCAGTATACTAGAAAGAAAACAGCCTGGGCCTGGTGTCACAGCCCTGTAAATCCAGCTACTGGGGAGGTTGAGGCAGGTGAATCGGAAAGTTCAGAGTCTACCTGGGCTACAGAGCAAGTTCAAGACTAATCTGGGCATTTGAGTGAGACCTTGTCTCAAAATAAAGAAAAAGTGGCCAGGTGTGGTGGCGCGCACCTTTAATCCCAGCACTTGGGAGGCAGAGGCAGGCGGATTCTCGAGATCCAGGCTAGTCTGGTCTACATAGCGAGTTCCAGGTCATCTGGGGCTACTGGGAGACCTGTCTCAAACAAAAAACAAGATTATAGTCTAGGCTTTGGCTGAGGCTACTCTAGGTTGCAGAACAAGAAGCAGTTGGCTTATTCAAGTTTGAATTGTGCCTATCTGGGCAATCTTCTCCAAGCATTCTGCATTCATATGCCACAGGCCTGAGACCAGGCATTGTCCCAAGCCACCCTCAATCGGATGCTCTGTAGAGCTCCACAGTGACAGGGCTGTATTAACCCTTCATTTTTCTTTCTGCCTGTAATCATCTGTTCTTTTACGTCTTCTACAAATGGCTTTAGAAAGGAAAGTGTGAAGATCTCTACATCTGCTCTTCGTATCTAAACGTTCTTTCTCTGCCAAGTAACTGGAAGCAGCCTCCCTCAACTCTAGCATCTGGTACAGTACCTGTCATAAAACCACCACTTTCTGCTCATTCAGTGCCTGAGTGACCAAACAACCAAACTACTTTCCCTTTCCTGAATGAATGCAAAGTGTTCTTTTCTTTAAATTTATTTTATTTATTTATTTATTGAATGGACACACCACTGAGCACGTGCTGAAGCCAGAGAACAACTTCCAGGAGTCAATTCTCTCATTCCACCATATGGGTCCTGGAGATCAAAATCAGATTGTCAGGTTTGATGGCAAGCCCTTTATCACCACTGAGTCATCTTACTGATCCTTATTTGCTATCTTTAAGTACCATTGAGACTGATTTCAATTTTTTTCAGCATAGAAATCATTACTATACAATACTCAACTATGGTTCTGAGTTATAGTCACAGATCCCAATCCTTTATCCATTTTTTTAAAGGAATGCAATCTTACGTGATTTGATCAAATAGATCTTGTCTAAATTTCTCAGCTGTTTTTGTGGATGGGCACATATTTTTCATTATTGCATATAATTGCATATTATTATGCAATTTTTATTGCATCTATTTAGTGTGTGTGTGTGTGTGTGTGTGTGTGTGTGTGTAGTACCCCATCACATGAGTGGTCAGAGGACAACTTGTGGGAGTTGGTTCTCTCTCTCCACCAGGTGGGCCCCAGGTTTTGAACTCAGGTCATCAGGCTTGATGGCAAGTACCTTTACCAGTTGAACCATCTTGCCAGCCCAAATTGCCTCTCTTCCATGCATCCAGGCCCAGGCAGGGGTAGAGTCATAGAAATGTATTACTCACAGTTCTGAGAACTGCTAAGTCTAAGATCAAGCACTAGAGAGCTGGTGACTGGTGAATGCCACATTCTGACCTCAGAGACTGGACCTTCCCTTAACGTCCCCACACAATGGAAGGAGATGGAACGCTCTAGGATAAGGACACTAATCTCCTTCATGAGGCTTCCACCATCACGTCCTAATCAGTCCCCCAACCCTAGCTCCTAAGAGCATCACCTTGAAGGGTACGATTTCAATATATGAATATAGTGGTAGGTGAAGATCAGGCTGTCAAAAGACAGAATTACTAGCAAATTTTGTTAATAGACGTAATTGACTTTTATTCTCAATTCGTGAATTAGGATAGCCTCTATACTATAAAATGGAACATGAGCTCCCACTGGGCAGTTACAGATTTTACACAGATACACACACACACACACACACACACACACAAACACAGATATGTACACACACAGACATACATGTACACACACAGAGACACAAAAAAGACACACATATACACAGACACACAGAGACACACGCAGATACATACAGACATACACATACACACACAGGTACGTATATGGACACAGACACAAATAGACACACATGGACACACAGACACACAGCACCATCACCCAGAGACACATACCACAAAACAAAGCAGAACAGAACAATGGAAAAAAGGATGATTGGTTAATGTCACATTATTTCAAATTTCTTTTTTTTTTTTTCCAAAAAGGCTAAGGCAGAGGGAACTTCCTTACACTTGGGTAGAGAGGAATTCCTAGTTTTCAGGAAAAACCTGCTGTGCTGTGGGATCTGTCCCCTGGGAATGTGGGAAGCATCCTCAGGTTTCACTTGAGCCCTTAGCACAAGGGACTTGGTTTTGTTCTGGTTTGGTCTGTAGAGCTTGTGCAGGAGGACCCTAGTCCAAGTGCAGTGAGCCCCATCACTGGTGTCTAACAAATCACAGAGCAAAGCCCCCATCCTGAGCTGCAGACAGGACCACAGCCTGTGGCCTGTGTGCACATACCTGTCTCTGCTTTCAAACTCAGTGCTCCCTGAGGGCAGAGGCCAGCCCCCACTCATCTGTATCCAGAATCTTCACAATACGTATGTGACTTGTAAATTCTGCACTATTTTGAAAATGTCTCTTTGTTTGTTTAGTTATATCCACATTCACTTGAGAAGTTTTATGTAAAACCTTGTAACTATACTAAATAATCTCCCTCTTTCTCCCTAACAGTGCATCAGTAAAAATACCGGCCCTGGGAAAGTCCAGAAAGTTCCCAAAGAAAATGCTTTTCTAACCAAGGACTTGACAGTCAGTATAAAGAAATTATTTTTTTCTTTTTTCAAAAATTGTTTCCCTAAATAATATTGAAGGAACAGAAGTGGGTGGGTAGTAGTTGTGGGTTAGAGATAATATTTCCCTCTATACATATTATTATTTTGGTTTTAACCATGAGACTGTATTATTCAAAAAGTAGATGCTAGCTGGTATGGTAGTAAATGCAGAAAGGTCAAGTGTTCAAGGCCAGCCTTGGCTCCATGAGACCCTGCCTTAGAAAAACAAAACAATGACAACAAAAAATTAAAGACAATAAATTAATTATTTTTAAAAGGGCTAGGACCAGCCTGATGGGCATGTACCTGTAATCTCAGCTGCTAGGGTGGCTGATGCAGAAGGATTGTAAGTTCAAGGTCTTCCTGGGCTGCAGAGTGAGTTTGGTGCCAGCCTGGGCAATTTAGTGAAACCCTTTCTCCAAAGACAAAACAGAAAGAAGGCTGGAGATTTAACTCAGTGGGAAAGTGCTTGCCTATCATGTGCTAGTCATGGGGTCAATATTCACTTTCACAAAAACAAAAACAAAGGCTTGGAAGGCTAGGGGTGTAATCATTTAGTGGTAGAATACTTGCTTAGCAGACAAAAGCCCTGGAGTCCCTTGACAGCATTAGGGGAGGAGGGATGAGGGGGTGATGGGCATGATGGCACATCCATGCACTCCTTGCTCTTGGAAGGTAAAGGCAAGAGAATCAAGAGTTCAAGTTCATCCTGAGTTCAAGGCCAACCTGGGTTACCTGAGTCCCTGTCTTAGAATGGAAAGGGGGAGGGGGAAAAGGAAAGGGAAGAGAGACAGGTTTGGAATTCTAGCACCTTCCTATTCTTTGAGCTGTTTGTCCAACCAAAGAGGTGGATGGTGCCTGCCCTAGAGAGATCTGAAGAGCTTTTCTGTTGTTGTTCTTTTTGAGACAGGGTCTCTCTGTAGCCCCAGCTCACTATGTAGATCAGGCTGGCCTCTGCCTCCCAAGTGCTGGGACTAAAGTGTGCAGCACCATGCTGGGCTCAGATCAGAAGAGCTTTAAAACTCATTTTAGGACTGAGTTGCCTGGCATAGGCAAGGCCCTGGGTTCTATGCCCAGCACGGTGGTGCATGAATGAATGAATAACAGGTAGCTCTGTAATCACTTAGACCCGGACTAATTGACTTTTATGTTTCCTGTTTGTATATTGGTTTTCCTTAATAACTGTGGTGACTTCTGTCATAACCATCAAATGAAAACAAAAGATAAACCTCTACTTTGCCCTTCATCTTAGCAAGAACAACTTGACCATTTACTGGTCAACTTGAGGATGGAAGCTCTGTTTGTGAAGGAGAATTTTAACATCCGATGGGTCGCCCAAACTGGTTTTGTGGAAAATATCAACAACATCCTCAAAGAGTACAAGCAGAGCAGAGGATTACTGGTAACTAGAGTCACTTCCTACTTAGACTTCTGATTCAGATTTTCGGTGCAGCTATACCAACCAAAGTGTTTTCATTTTCAGACATCCAAACAAGTTGTTCTTCATGTTTGACAAGTTTCCCTAGTCTGATAATCTACATACATATTGCATTAATACTTGTGAGCCAAACATAAAAAGATTTAAAAATGAGAGCTGGGAGTGGAGGCAGAAAGTCTGGGTTGGTGGAGTGGCTAGTGTAGGTCCTGAGGCCTTGAAAAGATACATTCCTGAAATAACACTCCCAGTTACAGACCGTTCAGAGCTTGCTCTGTGTTCCTTCATCTCTTTCAGCCAATCAAGATCTGTATTCTCGGTCCTCCTGCTGTGGGAAAATCCAGTATTGCTGAAGAATTGTCCAAACACTACAAACTGCATCACATTAAGTTGAAAGATGTGATTTCTGAATCCATTGCGAAACTGGTAACACTTTACTTTATTGGGAGTTTTTGTATTTAAAAAAAAAATGCTTTTCTAAGTCTTGTAATAAGTGAGCCACTAATTTGGTATGCCAAAGAGATTTGTTATTTTCATTGGATTTGGTTGCTGGCCCCAGTTAGTAGAATCCAGATACCCCCAGGGCTCTCCTCTGTGAGATGGGAGCTTTTGCTTTTGAAGTTCAGTCAGCCTCCAGGCCTGCACTAAGTGTATCTTCTCTCTGTTGACTGAACATGTTTAGTATTAAGTTAGGTTTTTGGTTGTTTTTTTTTTTTTTTTTTTTAATTTTGCTGTATTTTTCTCAGACTATTATCAAACTACTTACTTTTTTTTTTTTTAACTCATTTTGTTAGGAATGGCAGATACCAAGGGATGTTTCCATAAATAGTTACTAAAAGTCATTTTGGGGGTGGGGGTGCTGAGGATCAAACCCCATGCCTTGTGCACACTAAACATATGATGGACCATTGGGCTACATCCCTAGCCAAAGTCTTGATTTCTACATACTGTGTTTCCTTCAATTAACCTATGATCTAGAGTCTAGAAAGATGGCTCAGTAGTTAAGAGACTTGCTGCTCTTAGAGAAGACCTGAGCTTGGTTCCCAGCACCCACATGGGTCAGCTCACAACCAACTGTAACTCCAGTTCCAGGGGATACAACACCCTTTTCTATCCTCCACAGACACCTGTACATTTAAATGTGTTAGATACAAACATGCACACATGCACATAATAAATAAAAATAAATCCTGTTTTGTTAATTATTATTATTGTTTCTTTTTATTGATTTATTTTATTTCTATTTTATGTGTCTGAGTGTTCTGGCCTCCTTGGGCCTTGCATACATGGATGTTCTTGCATACATGCAAGCAAAACACTCATATACATACACATAAAATAAAAATAAATAATTTAAGTAAAAGATACAATCTGGTGTCTTAGAAAAGTGCTGGCTTTCCAGCCACTGTGGCCTTAACACACAAATACTATTGTAAAAGCGGACTTAGGGCAACCCTGGAGGCTCTCATCATGCTTCATAGATGCACATGTGCTGCAAACTGTTACGTGACGTCTGTTATTGAGTGCACTCCAGATTTGGGTACCAGGTTTTTTGTAGGATCGCTGGCCAGATGGTTAGTGGAGAGCTGATGGCTACAGGGCACAGTCAATTTGAATATCCCCGCTGCACATAGGAGTCGACTGTTGCACCCCAGGAGATTGTGGAAGGAGATGAAGAAGGTGAAGAGGAGGAAGAGGAGGAGAATGTGGAAGATGCCCAGGAGCTCCTAGATGGCATCAAGGAGAGCATGGAGCAGAATGCAGGTGATGTACACAGGGCACACACATAGCACAGAGTTGGCATGGGTGATGTATGCAGAGTGCATGTATAGCATATATCTGATGCAAGTGACATAAGCAGAGCGCATGCATCATGCAGAGCTGACACAGGTGATGTACATAGAATGCACACATAAGACAGAGCTGGCACAGGTGAGGTATGCAGAGTGCATGCATCGGGAAGAGCTCACACAGGTGATGTACATAGGATGCACACATAGCACAGAGCTGGTACAGGTGACGTATGCAGAGTGCATGCATCGGGCAGAGCTCACACAGGTGATGTACATAGGATGCACACATAGCACAGAGCTGGTACAGGTGACGTATGCAGAGTGCATGCATCAAGCAGAGCTGACACAGGTGATGTACTGATGTATGCAGGGCACACAGAGCACAAAGCAATGCCAGGCTGGAGTAGCCACCAGGAGGCGTATAACTAAGCAGTCTTCCTCAAAGTGTGGCCTGGCTCATCTAGCTCAAGTCTCGGGGTGGGCTGGAGAGATCCTTGTCACCCAAGGATAATTGCTCTAGCTTTGGAGTGATCTCATCATGGGGTTATCTGTCTACCAGGCTCTACTCTTCCTGAATCCAAGGTGACTTCAGGCATAGGACAACTACTTTTACCTTTGAGTCCTCACCCTTGAAGGGAGATGAGATAGGATGGGTATCAGCAGTTTCTAGATGGACATTCCTTGAGTAGTTAAACATATACCACATGAGGAGTTCAATGAGAGTCTGACCCAGAGCACAGGAGACAAATGCAAAAGGCAGGTAGAGATGCCAGGACTCTCTCCCGTGTTTAGTTGCCTTGTAGGACCAAGTGAGGAGTCACTGCTTTTAGCAAAAGCAGCTCCTAAGTACCTGTTATCTCTAAAGACATCCTCCTCGCCTGCATCTTACCCGGGGGATGTGTCACATTGCCTGGGGCTCTATGCCCACTTACTCTCACCTTCACTCTGGTGAGAGCCTTCACTCACCTGGCCTTGAGGTTCAGTTTGTTACATCCCCTTCCTCTTTAAGGTCTTTGCCCTTCTAGCCTTTCTCTGAAGTCCAGGTTACTTCTTTTCCTCTTGTCCCAGGCTAGTCTGATCTGGTAGAGAAAATGGATTTGGATGTGGATACTGAGGTTGGCTTAAACCAGCTGACCGAGTCTTCTTTCTGCTTTGTTTTGAGCTGGCAGTGAGGAAATAAAATTCAGATGGAAATTTTTCAGAGGGAAAAAAAGGGGAGACACAGAAAGCACAGGCTAGGGGGGCTGGAGAGATGGTTCAGCAGTTAAGAGTACTGGCTGCTCTTGCAGATGACCCAGGTTCAAATCCCAGCACCCACATGGTGGCCAACCATCTGTAACTCCAGTTCCAGGGGATCCAATGCTCTCTTCTGACCTCCGCAGGCATTGTATGACATGGGTGCACTTATACACATGCAAGCAATACACTTATATATATATAATATATATAATAAAAATAATAAAATATTTTAAAAAAGAAAATGCATGGGTTAATCCTCAGAGGTACAGTAATGCTTCACTTTGCCTGGGAAATCTTCGGGGAACCATGGACTGGTTTTAGAGTTCAACACAGCCACGGCTCTCACCACAGCTGGGCCTTGCCCTGCAGCCCTGGTATTACCCACAGCCTTGGCTCCTCTCACAGCCCTGTCCCCCCTGATATTCCTGGCTCCCTCCACAGCCTTGACTCCCCGTTTTTGGAGACGGGGGGAATCTCTCAAGACAGGACATCTTCCATGGGGAAGAACCAGGGAAGGAAATCTGAGGGCCACATTGAGAGTGGAGAATGCAATGTTCAGACCGAGCAGGTACACATTATAGCTGTGGTGTAGGAGCTGAAACGGCCTGCGAGAAGTGAACTGTACAAGCCCTAGAGCAGAGGCGTGGACGCCCTATACCCGGGCTATGGGAAGAAGCAAACATGGGCTTTGTATTGTTTTGCTTTTTGAGATAGTGTCTCACTATGTAGCCCAGACTAACCTCAATCTCTCCATTCTCCTACCATGGTCTCCCCGAGTTGTTACTCCCATATACACCCCCATTTCCTAGGAGGTTGGAATCCTACTCGTCTGCTCCCCTCTAACTTTAGGAAGATCTTTTTTAATTTCTCAAGTATGCTGGGTAGTTTTAACTGTCAACTTGCCACAACATAGAATCACCTGGGAATAGCACCTCCACGAGGACTTGTCTAGATCAGGTTGGCCTGTGGGCAGGTCCATGGTGAACCATCCTATTAACTGATGTGGGAAGACCCAGCCCTCTGTGGTGGCACCATTCCCTGTGTAGGGGGTAAAGAGAAAACTGAGCATTAGCAAGTGGGCCTGCACTCCTCTCTCTGCTCTGGACTGTGCGTATGATGTGACTCAAAGTTCCCACCACCTTGACTTCCCTGCAGGGATGGACTGTAACTGCAACTGTGAGCCAAAATAAGCCCTTTTTCCCCTAAGCTGCCTGTGTCAGGGTATTCTATCACAGCAACAGAAATGAAACCAGGACACCAAGTTTGTTCAAAAATCCTTCTTTCCTATCCTTATCTGAACTGATTCTGTTTGAAGAAAACAAGACCTTTGAACCCTCCACAGGGACAGATGTGGAGGATACCTGCTGAGCTTACTTCTCCCCGTCATGACTCCAAGTGGTTCTAAGCACAAGCTTCACAGCCTGGCAGGGAGACACCTCAGGGCTCAGTCATCTCTGACATCCCCATTAGCCCTTCAGGCCAGAGTACCTTATTTACAGATTACTCACTTATATGTCAAGAGGGTTGTGGGATTGTTGAGTCCAGTTGATGGGATTTCCATTGGCCACTCGGCGAGTCTTTCAATTGATCTGGGAGTTTGAAAAATAAAAAGGGAAGACTAAGAAAAGGGAAAAGTTTGTGTGTCAGCTTCATAATGTCCGCCTGTGTGCGGAAAGTCTTGGCTTACATTTACTTTTAAAACGCAGTTTAGTATTTATGAATGTAGATCAATACTAACATTTTTTAAATGACTAGTATTTAAAAGATAAAGCTTAAAAATAAGAAAAGCAGCTGGGCGTGGTGGTGTGTGCCTGTAGTCCCAGCACCTGGGAGGTAGGCAGAGGCAGGTGGATCTCTGTGAGTTCAAGGCCATCCTGGTCTACATAGTGAGTTACTGGTCAGCTGGGACTACAGGGAGACCCTGCCTCAAAAAGATAGAAAAAAGAAAGAAAAGCAGGGCAGAAGCCTCTGGTTGGGCTGTGCTTATCCATTTTAAAGTAGACAGGGTCCTGCTCTTGTGGAGCACAGTATGGCGTTCCCAAGGAAATGAAAAACATGGCAAATCTGAGCATGGTGGTGTGCGCTTTTAATCCTAGAACTCAGGAGACAGAGGCAGGTGGACCTCTGTGAGTTCAAGGCCAGCCTGGTCTACATATAGAGTTCCAGGCCTGCAGGGGCTACAGGGAGACCCTGTCTCAAAAAGACCAAAAAAAAAAAAAAAAAAGAAAGAAAAGATAAAAGAAAAACACATGGCCAGGTGTAGTAGTTCATACCTATAGTCTCAGCACTGGGGAGGCGGGCTCAGAAGAATCAGTTCAGAACAGCCTGAGATATACATTGAACTCCTGTCTAAAAAACAAAGATAGGAGGAAGCTGGGGAGATGACTCAGTCAGTCAGACTGCTCGCTGCACAAGCATGAGGACCTGAGTTTGGATCCCAATCACCTGTGTAAAAAGCTGGGCACTGAAGTGCATTTGTAACCCCAGAGCTGGAGGCCAGGAGATGGGTGGCTCCCTGGAGTTGACTGGCCAGCCAGACTATCCAAATCAGGGAACTCCAGGATCAGTGAGAGACCCTTTCTCAAAAAATAAGGTGGAGAGTGACAGAGGAAGACATCTGATGTTGATCACATTCACACACATGCTTGTGACCTGCACACATACTATCCACGCACACACACTAGAATCTTATCTGGTCTTTACAAGGAGGCTAACCAGATGTGGTGTCCTACCTGTAATCAAACACTTGGGAGGCTGGGGCAAGAGGATCTGGAGTTTAAGGTCAGTAAGACCCTATCATAGAAAGAAAAAAGGGAAAATGAGATGTTTTTTTCACTTGGAAAACACGAATAGATCTGCTGAGTAAAATAAGCCAGACACAGAAGTAAAAATCTTTTATGATCTAACTTGTATGTGGAGTGTATGTTTTTTCTTTTCTGAGGCAGGGTCTTTCTAGGTACCCCAGGTTGCCCTGAAACTCACTGCGTAGCCCAAGCTGGCCTCAGACTCTCAGTGGAGCTTCTTTTCCTCCTTTTTGAGACAGGGTCTCCCTGTAGCCCCTGCAGGCCTGGAACTCACTATGCAGGCCAGGCTGGCCTCAATCTCACAGAGTACTGGAATTAAAGGCATAGGCTACCATGTCTGGCTTGTGGAATAGGTTTAAAGGGGAAAAAATAGTGGTTCACAAAAGATGGAGGTGGGTGAGAGGGGCAGGTAAAAAGATACAAAATAGGGGCTGGAGAGATGGCTCAGAGGTTAGGAACACTGTTCTTGCAGAAGACCTGGGTTCAAATCCCAGCACCCACATGGCAGCTAACAACTGTCCATAACTCCAGTTCCAGGGGATCCAACAGCCTCTTCTGTCCTCCGCAGGCATTGCACGACATGGGTGCACTCACCTATATGCAGGCAATACACACATATGCATAAGATAATAATAAAAATATTTTTAAAAAGATACAGAATAACAGGTATGTGGGAGACATGCACAAGTGTGAGCTAAAGTGAATAGAGCTGCATTATGTTAGGTACTTTGTTTATTTTGATTTTTTGAGACAGGGCCTCTCTGGAGCCCCAGCTGGCCTGGAACTCACTATGTAGACCAGGCTGGCCTTGAACTCACAGAGATCCACCTGCCTCTTCCTCCTGAGTGCTGGTACTAAAGGCATGCGCCGCAATGTTTTGTTAAGTAGTTCTTAGCCACTCTTGTCATGGAAAAGTAACTGAGATGAC